TTTTCATCAGACATTTTTGAAAAACTTTATTAAAAATTTTTTAATTTTACCTAAACTTTCTAATTATTAAAAAAATTACGATAAATGTTTTCCTATTTTTGTTACAATGAATATTATTTTGGTTTATCTGATTTTTTAAAAGATATTTTCAAGGTATTTAAATATCCATATATAAAACATATAAACATAAACACTACAATAAAAGTTGAGTAATAACCACCCATATTTTAATGAAAGTAAAGAGTTATAAATATGCAATAAAAAAAAGGAACTTCTGAAAATTAGACCGTAAAAATATTAAACGAAATTAATTTAGTAGCTGTCCATCATCTACATTGAGAATATGCTACCATTATTAGATTCAGACACATGTTAAAAAAAAAAAACTCATTTTAATGTATTTATGGTGTAAACGGTCTATAAAGAAGATTAAACGAGAAAGAAAGAACTATAAAAAAAAAAATGTAACAATGAAAATATAGCTTTAAGTAAGAGTCCTCCATTTACGATGAATTTTAGTCTTATCTTGTGTTATCACCAGCAGCTGCTCTGGGCATCCGTTTGTTATTGTGTTTTATTTTCATTCTAGCTAATAAATAATTCTTTTTTATAAAATAAAAACTTTATCGAAACTGATAACTGAATGCTTTCAGATAATGGAAGAAAAAATGTTTCTATAACTAATATAGTTAAAACAATGGTAAAATTTAATTTTTAAAATATGAATTTAGAGTTGTTTCCATATATTATTAAAACAAAAATGATTCTACCACATTAATGATTACACCATATTTTTTCATATAAAAACAACAAAAATATATTTAAAAAATAATCATATAAAAAATAAAGAGAAGGATAGTTGGGGAAATCAGTCAAAATAAAAATGGCAAAAATAAATAATGATATTATTTATTTTAACATTTGCCGGAAATTAAAGGAAAATAAAGTAGGTAGAGTAATTTTACTTTAATGTTCACTTATCTACTTCATTTTAATTTTTTTTCTTAACCTACATTGTTTATGTTTCTCATATCAATTGTTATCTGTTTTTTTCTCAGCCCTGATGAAGGCCTGAACTTCGGATCGAAACGTCGACAAATGTTAAAATAAATATTATTATTTATTTTTGTCATTTTTATTTTGACTAATCACCACAACCATCCTTCTCTTCATTATTCACTACAGTCAACCATCAACCGACAATCATATAGAGAAATATTCCTAATTAACAATTATATTATTTTGTTATGGGTTGTTATGGTTACTTATATTTATTTATTTAAGAGTATATTTAGTGTGTTTTGTTTTATTTTCTTCAAATTATTTCCTGTATCTCTTTTATATTTCATTTCTTATGTTACACCTGTAATCAACAAACGGACTCTATGTCTTTTTAAATTTCTATCCAAAGTTGAAATTTTATCAGTTCAGTACAGTAAAAGATTTCAGATCAAAAATCATAAAAATAAGATGGAAAAATAAATTTTGACAATGCTAGAGAGGAACAAGATTGAAATATATAGTGTTTACTTAACTTTAACAGACGGATTGAAACAATAATCATTATTTATTACTGAAGTTTTGAAAACCTAGATTATAAATAAATTCCTGTGATTAAATTTACTTTCTTAATGATTATTAAATAATTACAATTTTAAATGCTGTTAAATAAAAAGTATTACACTAATTTTTAATTAAAAGGATTTACCATTTTACGTTTAATTTATAATTTCATATTAATATTTTTTCTTGCAATAATATAAACTATTGAGGAGAAACGATAGAAAATAATTTATGCTAAAATCTTAATCTTTCAATCTTTTATATTGTTGACTCTTAAGATAAAATATTCTGTTTGAGAAGGAAATGGCAAGGGTTATTGGAGTTATTAAATTAGTTATTCCAGCTAAAGAACTCGCTTAGCTAAGATTTTCTTTTGTAATGGGGCGCTTAGCAGGAAAATAAACAATCCGAGCTTGTTTTTTTTTTATTATACTTTTTTTTCGGAATCATTTTTCGTTATTAAGTACATTTTTTATCTTCAGAGAGCAGCGAAATTCCGAGAATCAAGGGTTTGTAGGTGGTATAATGACAGAGGGTAGAAAATCTAAGCTTAGTATTTGCGCTCCCTTGGGTAAAAATAAAGGTTAGTATATAGTATATAATATGTATGTATATGTTATACATAAATATATGGTATATATTATATATATAACGAAATTTCTTCAATCGACCTTTAAGTATTATATTTTAACATTTTAATTATTTAATTATTTTAATTGGAAGTCACCGGGATCGAAACGTCAATATATTCCTTGATCCTGCTGCAATGAACATTTTTTAGTTTATTGAATAATTCCTAAGTGACCTAACTCCAAATTTAAATAATTATGCCAATGTATATAAATAGAAAATATTTTGATATATAGATAGGATCAATTCAGAGTTGAACGCTAAAAGATTCTAGGAAAAATTAGCTAGTAAATAAATTAACCTAAATAAATTATGTTAAAAATAAGTCATTTATCATACTAGAATTTTAAAATTGGTTTTATTTAGGCATTTTTTTATTTTATTTATTTATTTGTATACCTTATCTTTTTTGACACTCAGTGGAAATAGTTTATAACGCTGATTTGAGGTAGATCAAAATGAACAATTTATTATTCGACTAAGTAAAAAGACACGTGGCTTATGTGTCCGCTAAAATATTTGTAACGATTTTTTTAGCGAACGGCTGAATGAACTTTTATGGTTTATGGCTCAATTTTTTCGTTCAAACACTCTCCCGTGGTTGAATAAAATATGTTTAATCAATTCGTTAATTGGTGTGTAACGATTTTTTAAGTGAGTAGCTGGATCGATTTTTATCATTGCAATCTTATCTGATGCAATCTTATATTTTTTGCAAAGCATCCTCTTACTACTTTTCGCTGAACTAAAACAATTATAAAATCAGCAATTTTTACTAAAATAAAAATGTATATACATAATATTTATTGAAAAAATAATTGAATGTACATAAATTACAATATTTTTATATACAACTGGATGATAATAATGTTTTGAAATCTTTTTACGCCTATTACTAATTTTTTTTTTTATAAATAAGGATGTAATTCAAATTAATGTTTTAAAACAATTAAAATTTAAAATTTAAAACTGACGCAAAATTTATTGTTAAATGTTCCATTATTGGTTATTTATTTTTATCACATTATTTTAAAGATAGCGTTCCAACCGTGCATTTGATATTTTTATGTTATACAGCAATATTTGTTTAAAAAATATTTATTGGAATTTACATCTGTATTACATGAAACATACCACAAGTAAATATGAAATTAATATCAGGGCATGTTTAACATGACGAGAAACTACCCATTAGATAGTACTCCAATTATAGTTCTTTATTAGAAAGTTCAGAGGCTATATTCTTTTCAGACGCCTCGCAGGGTTATCAGGAATAGAAGAGGAAACAAGATTAGAAACAAGAGGGTTCAGATGGTTCAGAAGTTGATTATGGAAGGATAGGTATTTGGATTGAGCTAAATCGGAAATACATTATCGTAAGGTCGTTATGGATGATTTTATTTATGACAAAGTAGGTAGCATTGAGGATTTTACGAAGGATTTTGGATTGTAAGGATTGGATACGAGAGGAGTTTGATGGTTTAGTAGAGCACCAAAGCTCTACTAAAAAAATGAATATGTTTTTCTAAAGGAAAGAACTAAATATAAATTTTGTTCTCCATTATTGAATTATGTTGTGGATCGAGTAAATTGTGGGTTTTATCATTATGGTTATTACTTGACCATTAATTTAAAATAATTTGTTATGATGATTATAAAAATAAATCAAGTTCTCTCTGAATAAAATAAGCACCTCAATTTTTATTTATCTGACATTAATTCATGAAGTAACATTATAATATAATATAAGTCTAAAGTAATTAGTAATTAATTAAGTAGTAAATACGTTTTTAAAATTATTGGAAATTGAGTGGTAATTGAGGCAAATATTTTCCGTAAGAGCTACCCTGGCTTAATCATCTTTAAAACTCTCATTGGGAGTAATGGAGTACGTGACCCCCACGCCTTCCCTTCCAACCTATTAACACACCGAAATCCTTTTAAGAGGTTCCAATTAATTAATTTTCCTAGCTATATAATTTAAAGAAAAATAATTTCGGTAGCTAGTTATAAGTAATTAAAAGAGAAATCTTTATAATTTGTTATCTCTGGGAGGCTATTTAACGAAAAAATTGATGGCTTATGATAAAAAGATCGATGCTTCGTTAGTAAAATAAATAATTAAATATCATCAGTCGAATTTCGTTGTAAAATACAATAAAATGGTAGTAACTATCATACATAATAAATCACTTACTGAAACATACATAATTATTTTTAAATAAAAATAAATTGTTTTTTTATTTTATATCTAGAGCTTCAGCAATAGTCAAAAAGTGTGTAGGTATAATTGGTGTATTATTGAATGGAACGTGCGAAATCAATCAATCAAAATTCATATTAAAAAAAAAAATAAATCTAAAGAAATAACAAACAAACATGGAAATACTTGTTAAAGTGTTTTTACTTTACCATAACTTTTACAAGTATTACATTTTATCGACTTCCTTTAAAGCGCAATAAAAATCTAAAGTGTCGTTATCAATTAAGTTTGTAGCTTTTTCACAAGTGTCACCTAGTTTCAAAGTTGATTAAAATCCTTTTACTTGTTTTAAAATGGTTAAAAGTTTTTTTAAATAGCTTGATGACGTTAACATTCGAGAGTTTTTCAATTTTTATTATTTTTCATAATAATGAAAGAAATATCCATTTTTAGCACCTGTTTATTCAATGAGTTTTCTTCAACACCCTTCGTCATCGGGAAATGAGTCATTTTCTCACGAATAACTATCAAAGTTTGAAAGCAAATCTGTGCCAGAAGAATCATCCCCATGTTTTCTTTAATTCATTTATTTTTAATGTAATAGTTACCTGACTATTGGATCGCAAGCGTTCGCTGTTCCGACTGTTCTGCTAGGTAGGTTCTTGATCTTGAGCAAGGTGATGAGTAGCTTCTCGCACCCAGCTTCGTAGCGGAGATAGAACCAGAGTCGGCCGAGGTGTCCTTCAGGGTAGTGCAGTTCTTCTTCCAGTTCTCCCGGGTTACGGTAGAGGGCAGGGTTCAGTCCTCCCAAAGCTCCGTAGCTACCTAAAATATATACAAGTTATAATCGAAGAAGGCGATTGATGATTTCTTCTTTTTAAACCATAAAGCATATGATGACTAATAAATGACTTAATTAAAGCAACCTAGGTGAAAGTCGAGTTAGGAAAGAGTAGTGAAGGGTGGGATTAAAACACACGAGGAAAACCGGAATTCATTACATGCATTTAATTACCTTAAAATTGTTGAAATAAAATTGTAATTGTGTATTGCAATTATTTAACAATCTACTGTAATTGCAACGGTGATTCACACTTAGTGTATTCGAATGCACGAAGAAGTCGAGAATTGACAAGTCTTGGACTTGATCTTGCGCCAAAAAATCTAATCTTCGTACCACGAACTCAATCTTTGGTCATCATAGTCTTGGAGCAAGAATCTCGCAAGTCTTGCAATTGCCTGTTATCTTATTGTTATATAATAATAACAACATGTTAATTTAGATCTTAGAATAATGCAACAGAGTAGGTACATTTTGAGCTTATATTGAAATAGATATAGTGAAATCCAACCAAATTAATAGAATTGTTGACAATACTTTAATATTGTCTTAATTTGTATCCACAAAAGAGTTGTTTTTTTTATCTTGAACTGGTTCTTAAAAATGTTTAATTTTTCGTTATTTTTTTAGGGAGCTAATATTAATACACTATTCAAACTTATTAACTAAGCTACACTATTAAATAAAAAAATAAAACAAAAACGTTGTTTAGATTTAATGCAAGATTAAAATATTGAAACAGTGTACTATATCTCCAAATATAATAATCAATACTGTATCATTTAGTGTTATAACGTCCAACTTTGTTGCTAGATGTAAGGAATCGTGGTTTTGATAACGGTATTAAGAGACGTCTTTCTACACCGATATTAAAAACAAATACTCAATAACGCCTAAGTCTCGATTGGACTAAACTGCCGGACCATTACGTCTCGTCAAGACAGAACTTGTTCTTGCTTAAATCTTGTAGGGTTAATCTTGGTTTTAGTCTTGGAAAAATGCAAGAACAAGAAGAAGACAGCAGGTTCATGACCGTTTTTGAGCAATACTATAACTAATAAAAATTAAGAAATTAAGAAAAGAAATCACAAGCAATAACAATTAGTTACTGACCCAAATTAATTACATTTACAAATTACGATTTTATGTAATAGCGAGTTCATGTCTAAAATTAAGAGTAGTTATAATTAGTGATTCGAATTATCAACACCGAAATGACACCAAAAATGTAATTAAATTCCTATTCAATCGAAATGGGTAAAGGAAAAAACACATTCAATTAATTTTAATTACATGAGTGATAAAATGTCAGGACGTAGTCATTGTGAATAGTTTTTATTTGTGCCAACGTTTCAACCTAAGCATATGGGCTCATCATCAGGCATGTTTCGAGCAATGAAATTATTCGAGTACTCGAACTTGGGTACTTGAATAACTTTAGTGTTCAAAACACGTCCTTATGATGACCCATATGCTTAGGTTGAAACGTTGGCACAAATAAAAAATATACACAGTGACTACGCACTAACTATTTATCACCCATGATATGTCGAGCAGTCGACTAACTTCCTTAAATTTTAATTAAAATTAATTAAGATAAGTAAGTAATTGGAATTTTTCAGTTTTAGTTTTGAATTTCAATTTTTCGTGAAGTGGGAGCGCTATACATAATAATTTCTGATATTAGTTTTAGAAATTGTAAAAATGTCACCTATGTTGAATCTGAATCGACAGAGATCGGAAAATCCTGACTATCTCAAAGGAACTTCTTGCAGATCTCGTTATACGCCTTTTGTGATTGAGTGGAAAATTTGTCGAGTACCTCTTTCAGATCTTGATATTAACCAAAACATGAGACGAAATTAACTTGCCAGGAGCTGTAATGTGTAATGAAAGACAAACAACTATTACACAATTGTAGTCGTAAATTTTTCGAAAATCTATCATGGTGTGTGATCATATACGAAATAACATTGCTTTAGGATGGATAGAATTTTCCTCATTCTGTTGGCGGTATTTATTTTTGTTTTTTTACTCGACATTTGTTTTTTTTTTGTTGTTGAAATTTTTAGTTTTCAATTAAGAACAATTTATATTCAACGTATATGCTCGCGAGATCACACTGAATCCATTCAACTTAAAAATCAGTCAATTCGTTCTCTCGATAAGTCGTTACATATCTTTAACGGACATGTTAGATACATTTTATATAATGATTTGTCAGTGGATTAATCTTAAATTGTTTCAAAACACTCATGGAATAATTTGAACCATCAAACGAAAAATCGATCCTGTCATTCCCACATAAAATTCTTACATAACTTTTTGCGAAGAACTCAAACACACCTTCGTGTACCTCCTCCATAGTATGTTTGAAATTAGTAATTGTTTAAGAAATTTATTTCATCATTATATAAAGATATGTGAAACTTGAATAATTTTTTAATTATTGATATTTAATATTAATATATTTTAATATATATTATCAATATAATATAAATATATCAATTATTAATAATATTAATATATTTATTAATTGATTGCAATTCATTGAAATTGTGGATACTCTTCGTCTTACTCCCATATTGAAATATGGATTACCTGCCGATTGGGTAGAAATTAATTTATACTCAAATTAGAGTGATAAATGAAAGTCGTGTGACACACACGCCGTGCCAGAGATTTTAAAACTATTTTAAAAAATTCTTTCGCTATCTTTTCTTTTAGGGGAAAATTTCGACAACAGAATTTAAATTGTTTTAGAAAATAAACCGAGAACTTCGAGGCTTTGAACCGATTCAACGCCTGGAGGTTGTTACACTTTTTATAAACTGTCGCTAGAGCTGTTAGTGGAGGAGATATTTGAACTATACAGGTCTATAGTATATATAGTATAGGTTTATAATATATCGACCAAGGTCAAAGCTAAAATACTAGAAAATACCAACTTTCTTCAGTCCTTTTAATTACATCTATTATGTCTTACGTTCGGGACAATTTCCCCATCATCTGAGTATTCCTTATGTTTACTTGCTTTTGTGACGTGGCAACAGTTGTCAAAAATTCAATAATTGTCATATCTTTTTTTTTTGGTGTTACACATTTATTTCCTGTTCATTACTATATGAACCAACATCTGGCTATATTACTCTGAAACGTAAGATATAATAGATGTAATTAAAAGGACTGAAGAAAATTGGAAGTATTTTTGACTAAACCTTATAAAAATATATAAACAGAAGCTTCCTTAAAAAAGTAAAATAAGAAGAATTTTTCTGATCCTTAAACATCTTATAGCACTTATTGGGTTAGTTCTGCATCAATAGTGGAAAAAGTAGTTCCAAAAGTTGTTCATTGTATTCAATTAAAGCTAAAACTTTAAAAAGCACGCAAACTTTCGATAGGGGAATGTACTAGCACAGAAATAAATCGCACATTAAGGTTTTTTTTTTCTTTTAGAAGAGGACATAAGACATGTTTCCAGGGCGGGGTGACATTGACAAATCGAGCTTGGAGGGCGAATCATTGCATTCCTCCAGCTCAGCCGGGTCCTCCAAATAGGTCACTCCCAACTTCCTTATTCATCAACTTGTTCCAAACAGGGGATGATAAACGGCTCTTGTCACCACACATCAATTCATCCAACCTAGCAAAAAGATTTACTCAATTTCAGAAATTTAAGCTATCACGATACTTTGAAAATAATGTTTTTATGTATTAATAATGCATTCTCTTAACCATTGACAGATCCTGAGGGTTTAAACTGATCGAGGCTTTCGTGTTGAAAGTCTCTACAAAATAGAAAAATATATATTTTTTATAATTTATTTATTTTTATACAGGACTGAATAGAGTCCGGTATGAATGCCCTAGTGAGGAACAACAATTTCTTGATACCGTCTGCAAATAGGAAAATGGAAAACGACATTCTTTGAAATAAAATAATGAATTAAGGACGAATCATATCGCAATGATAGATTTTAAAAAAATTTATGACGTGGTGCATGGATCTTGAAAATGGCTCCTAAAGCCGAAACGTTGAATAAAGCATACAGGAGATAAAAAACTGTGTATATTTGGTGACCTTTGGCCTAAAATAGTTATATGAAAAATTATGAGAAAATGGCACCAAACCTGAAGGATGTGACTAGAAAATATATTTTTTATGTTAAATAAATAATCAACATGTGTAAACTATTATCATTTAAATTATAATGTATGTGTTTCGGCTATTAAATGTAAACACGGAATTATCTTTAACGGATCATGTGTGAACATTGATAAAAGTGAGGTTAATTTTTCTTTGAAAATCTTTTTGACAAAATCTTAGAGTAAATTAACAGTGAAAACTTTTCTTTTTGTTGCATTCTGTTGTTGAAACCAATTAGCTCCAAGAAATAGGAACTCCACACCTCGGTGTAGCGGTTTCACCGCAAACGATGTCTGAGACGTCGATATCTGCCAGTTCTACAGAAAATGTGGACGCTTTAAACTCAAACCAAACTACTGAAAATAATTGGGAACTCGTTACAGGAAGAAAACGCTCAATGGACAATAACAGAGACCCAAGAAAAGCTAAAAAGGTAAGTGAAGTTACAACAGTAACCACTAATAGTTTTGAAGTTTTAACTAACATTAGTGACGAGTCTGATGCTACCACTAAGCAACCAGTTTCTGTAAAACCGCCCCCTATCCACTTGAATGATGTACAGAACTACACCGAACTGGTCACATTTCTCCAAAATGTAGGAGGTTTGAACAGCTTTAACCTAAAATCCACATCAAGAGGAGTAACCGTATATCCTGAAAACTCTGACACATATAGACGTATAGTAGCTAACTTAAGACAGGTAGGTGCCGATTTCCATACCTATCAGTTAATAGAAGATAGAAATCCAAGAATCGTATTAAAAAACTTACACCATGCTACTCCAATTGAAACAATAAAATACGAATTAAAATGCCTAGGCTACGATGCCACAAGTATTGTGAACGTTATTTCCAGATACAAAAATCCACTTCCCATGTTCTTTATCGATATCTCTAAAGCCACATTTAATGAAAAAATTTTTGATATCAAATTTTTATACTATACTAGAGTGAAAATCGAAGAGCCAAGAAAGAAAAGAATGATTCCACAGTGCACCCGTTGTCAGCAGTATGGCCACACAAAGGCTTACTGCAATCACTCCCCGAAGTGCGTGAGATGTGGCCAAGGACATGATAGCACCGTCTGCACAAAGACAAGAGAGACCGCAGCAACATGCGCGAATTGTAGCGGATCCCATCCAGCAAATTATAGAGGTTGTGCAACTCTAAAACAACTGAGGGAAGTACGCAATCTCCGTAAAAATATACAAAGTCCCCAAAAAGCACAAACTAGCGCACCCCCAGGTATAGACGAGTTTCCTTCTCTTCCGCAAAGTCAGCATACCGCAAATTCAGGTTCTTCAAAACCCGATTCTCAATATCTAGGACCAAAACTGCGAACTTCTCCTACAGAAGTCCCAGAAAATCACCTTCACCAGCCAAAGCATCCAGAAATGAAAAAGGGCATTACTCAACCGCCACTACCGACTTACAATCACCCGGCTTCAGCTCAGCTCTTCAACTTGGTAAGTGGATTGAATAACCTCATCCAGCCTCTTTTCAGCCTTCTCCAAGAACTGTCTCACGTTGCACAAGCCTTATCCTCCAGTTATGGCTACTAATCGGCTGACAGTGGGCTCCATGTCCGTTCTTCTCTGGAACGCAAATGGTATAAACCAACACAGGACTGAACTTGACATGTACATACATGAAAAACGGACTGACATTGCTCTCATCACTGAAACACACTTGACTCCACATTCTAAATTTTACATTCCAGGCTACAAAATATATAGAACTGACCACCCTGATAAGACGGCACATGGCGGTACGGCAATACTGATTAAGCAATCACTAAAACACAACCCTTTACAATTACCCATTACACCTGACATACAATCCACAGCAATTACTCTGTATACCCAGCACCATACCATTACCTTCGCTGCAGTGTACTGCCCTCCGAGATACGTGCTAACATCTGCAATGTTTTACAATTTTTTCCAACATCTCGGTCGGTGTTTTATTGCAGGTGGTGATTATAATGCCAAACATCAGTCCTGGGGATCACGACTCTGTACTCCTAGAGGAAGAAATCTAAAGTCTGCCATCGATCAGCTTTCATTAAACACGATCTCACCTGATACACCTACTTACTGGCCAACTTCAAGACAGAAAACACCCGATTTACTTGACTTTTTCATTACTAAAGGACTCAGGACAGTGCCGTATACTGTAACTGCAAGCTCTGATCTCTGTTCTGATCATTCTCTTCTCAGTTTGGTACTATGCGATGAGCCTCGTACTGCATCAAAAAAACCAACACTTACAGATAGAATAATCGATTGGAAAGCTTACAGCGACTACTTAAATTCGACGCTTTCAATCCCAATGTCCCTTAAGACCGAAGAGGAACTCGAAAAAGCTGTTGATAAGTTCACAATCAGCTTACAACAGGCTGTATGGTCATCATCTGTACCAAGACCTAGCAGAAATACGTCTCTTCCAATCTATCCGCAGTACATTAGAGACCTGATCAGAGCAAAGAGAAGAGCGCGCAAAGTGTGGCAGACTGGTCGACTTCCATCTGACAAACGGACTTTCAATAGACTTAACAATGAACTTAAACGACAGATTCAGAATTTTAAAAGAACGAACTACGACAATTACCTCAAAAATCTTTCGACTGACGATGGAAGCTTATGGAGACAGACTAAGAAACTTGTAAAGCATTGTGAGGTGTCATCACCACTCCGAAACGTAGATGGTTCCTGGGCTGTGTCAGACCTTGAAAAATCTGAGCTCTTTGCCAACCATCTTTCTTCTGTTTTCATACCACATACTGACTTCTCTAATACTGATCACGAAAGACATGTACAAAACACTTTAGACATTCCTTTACAACTGTCATTACCTCCACTTTGCTTCACTCCCACTCAAGTTGCAGAACAAATCAGACAGTTACCTAAAAAGAAAGCTCCCGGTCATGACCTGATAAATGCTCAAGTGCTCCAGAAAATGCCAAGGAAAGCTCTAGTATACCTAACATCAATTTATAACGCAATACTCAGAACGACTAAATTCCCCTTACAATGGAAATACTCATTCATAAAAATGATTCACAAACCTAACAAAAACACTGACTTTCCTTCATCATACAGACCCATCAGCTTGCTCCCATTATGCTCTAAAATCTTTGAGAAACTTCTCTACAAACGACTTCTTGACATACTGACTACTGAAAACATAATACCTGAACATCAGTTTGGATTTCGTTCACACCACTCAACCATTCATCAGCTACACCGAGTGACAGACTACATTGCGACAGCACTAGAGCACAAATTATATGCAACAGGAGTATTTCTGGATGTTGCTCAAGCGTTCGATAGAGTCTGGCATCAGGGACTTCTTTTCAAACTTAAGACTATACTCCCTCCAACCTACTATCTTATTCTTCAATCTTTTCTTTCTGACAGATTTTTCTCTGTTTGCCAAGGTACAGAACTATCTACCATTAAACCAGCCCTAGCAGGGGTGCCTCAGGGGTCAGTACTCGCTCCTCTGTTGTATATTATTTACACATATGATATTCCAGATCCTCTCTATACTCTGACCGCGACTTACGCAGACGATACAACAATCTTGACAAGACATCAAAATTCAGCATACGCCTCACAGACTTTACAATATCACCTAAACAATTTCTACGACTGGTGCAAACTCTGGAAAATTCGACTCAACCTTGACAAATCACAACATATCACTTTTACCCTTCGACGTGAAACTTGCCCCCCTATTTACCTTGACAATATCCAAATTCCTCAGACAGACAAAGTTCAATATCTTGGACTGACCTTTGACAGAAGAATGACATGGGGCCAACATATCAAAAACAAAACAAAAACTTTAAACCTAAGACTACGCCTATTGTACTCACTCCTTGCAAGAAATTCGAAATTAAAACTTAGACAGAAATTGAATACATATACTTACCTACTCAAGCCTATTTGGACCTACGCTTTACAGATATATGGGACAGCCAAAAAGACTCACATACGTAAATTACAGACTTTTCAATCTAAAACTTTCAGGACTATTACCAAAGCTCCCTGGTACGTCAGTAACATTACTCTACATAAAGACTTACAGATGCCAACAGTTAACGACCACATACGAACATACTACAAACGATTCCATAATAACTTACACGGACATACAAACTCATTGATTCGAGGCATGGCCACAACTAACATGCCCGATAGCACCCGAAGAAGGCTTAAAAGAAGCTGGATGAGGGATCTCCTCCACTAACTAGAAATATTACGCTCAAGATAGGAAGGACGCCGCTGGGTACTCCTCTCCCTCACGCCTATTCCAAGACCAATCTCTTCATCTTGACATCACACTCGCTGATTGTCGGAACTTCTGACAGGTGTGAGTTGAAGAATCAAGTCAAAAAAAAAAAAAAAAAAAAAAAAAAAAAAAAAAATGTAAACACAGGCCAAGAAAAAAAATATCCCGCAAAGTATAACTGTTCTTGGAATATTGTGTCTTTATTTATTTATTAAATCCTGGGTCAGCTAGTGAACTCAACTGTTTGGTTAACCGTCATGAACCCGATCATTCGTCTGCATAGAAAATAAGTTTATTTATTTAGAGCAAAAAATTACTTTTAATATTGTTATCAATTTCATTTAATGAAACACGTCTATTAATATGGTGTATAAAAAACCGTTTTATCAAATTCAAGATTTCAAAGGACTGTAAATATTTTAATCCTATTTAATTCTTACCAACACTTAATAATCCCTTTAGAGCATTCTCTAAGCTTGTTTAATTCCATTCGACTTCTTAAAAAAAAAAAAAAAAAAATCAGTTTAGTTGTTTGTTTCAAAGAAGAAACATGACAGTTCCCTACGAAATACTCGTAATTTTAAGGCATTATGGGAAAAAAAATTTCACAGCCGCTATAGCAACTCGTAAAATTATTAAATATGAAGGGAAATTGGCCCTAGACCAGCTCACTGCGCAGCGTTGGTTTGAAAAAATATAGCAGTAGAGATACGACGTTGAAAAGGAAGAAGGGCTCCAGACGACTATTAGTGGATATTGATGAGGTTCTGCAGGAAGCTGTAGAGTCAAATCCGTCCACAAGTACTCGCGAACTTGCCAGGAAGTGTGGTGTGTCGACAGATACAGTTAGTCGCCATCTACTCTCCATAGGAAAGGTGAAAAATAGTGATCCCTCACTTACTCCACAGCAATCAGCTCATAATTTCCGTTGAAATAACGAAAAGTTTTTAAGATTTATAACCCCATTTTCTTCAAGGGAAACAATTTGAGAATTTTACGGAAGTTGACATCGCGATCTAAGAATTCTTTGACAGCCATCCCAAAGAATGCTATCTGGGTGGGATCCAGCAATTGTTAATGACGTTATATAACAATGGAATATACTTTGAGTAGTAATTGTATTTTAAATCAAATAAATAATAATACAAATATTGTAGGAAACCAGTCATTTTTTTTCACCCTATTATATTCCAAGAATGATGTAAATATTTCTAAATAATGACCAGTGTTTTTTGATAGGCCAAATGGACATTAAAAAAAAAATGTTTTCAATGTGAACAGTTGAATAGATCATTGTAAAATAATAATATTACATTTAAATTTTCTTTAATACAATTTTGGCAACTAGGCTTTCTTAAAATTTTATTTTATTAATAAAAACACATTTTTTTTTTTACGTTTTAGGTAATTTTTTTCCATCTTCAGGACATTTCTTTACCAATATGGAGTTAACAATTTACTTTTCTTGACCTATATTACAATTTCATAATAATTCATCATAAATGGTCAATATATAAAAAATTAAGGAGCATGCTTGTTATTTTGTTACAAGTGTGAAATATTAGATGAATACACACACTTGTAGATGGAGCAGTGTAATCGTATTTCGCCTTTACATTTTTTTTTTTGTACATAAGTTTAGATAACTTTTTTTTTCAAATTAAGCAGTTTAGGATCAGATCAAGCCATAAAGATCAAATAGTGATCACGTTGGGAACTAGTACAAAATGTGTTCATCCACATCTTGCATTCATCAGGGATGTAGTAAGCTGATTGCTCAACAGCTGTTTGCAAAACCAGCTCATTTCTATTGCCATCTTGTTGTTTTGCTTCAAATTTATGATGTAATATTGAAGTAGACAAAGCAACATTAAATCTTATGTAATTATTTATCTAAACAATTTATTTTATGAAGTCTAAAAATGAAAAAAAGCACATTTTTTTTTCATTTTCATATTTCATAAAAAGAAAAATTAAAAAAAAGCATATTTCTTTTCATTTCCAGACTTCATAAAATAAAACCACATTTTTTTTTTGTTCTTAAAAACAAAAAAATGTGTTTTTTTTTTTCGTTTTTAGACTTCATAAAATAACTGCACATTTTTTTTTGTTTTTCTTCTGACTTTTTTATCCTTCATGCTCCTCATTTAATTATCTATAATATGTATTTAATTAGAGAAATTATTTATTTCTTCCTGGTTCAAATTCCTGTCCTACGACAGGAAACCTGAACCCACATATATTACAGAATTGCTGTTTTCGCATACCTTGTGAAAGAAGACAGAAACATTGTAGAGATTATTTGCCTACTGTATAACATCGTTCGATACTGTGACTTATGCGTCTAAAAAAAACCTTGTACTATTACAACCCATGAAGGATCTTGGGTTAGGTACTTAAAGGCGTACTGATTCTTGGTCAACTGTTTTGCTGGGTGATCATGCTCGAACTCTGAAAATATTGACTCGCTGCTGAAGTCTTTCGATTAAAAACAAATAAACTATAACAGATAATAATTTACTCAACTTATTAAGCACGATTTTTTTTTTTTTTTTTTTTTTTTTTTTTTTTTTTTTTTTTTTTTTTTTTTTTTTTTTTTTTTTTTTTTTTTTGCGAATATACTATTCGCTTTTCCAGAGATCAAAATTTCAAATCAGAATATACAATTTTGGTTATTTATTTCGTCAATGTAGGTTTATTTTTCTGCTCTGCATTCTTAGTCCCCACTAGTGCGGTGAAAACCCACTCGTAGTAATAACTAAACTCAATAAACTCATAGTAAGTAATAACCAGGCAATATCAACAGAAAAAGAAGTGAATATAATAATATTTTGGATCTCACAATGTAACAATCAGTTGTTACTAATTAACCATACTTCATGTTCCTTCTTTTTCCTACCAGCTCATATTCTGATGGTAAAAATTTACTAATAAAGAAAAAATGAGTCAACAAATCTTACAAAAAAGTATTTATTATAACTTTTTTTTCTTATTTGTGGAATATGTTCTAAGTTGAAATCAAGATATTGACGATATTTCATATTAATGCGAGGTCTACGAAAGGCTTAAAAATTAATTCCAGAGGTGATCCAATTTAGCCAGCAAAAGTTGAAAGATCTGAGCTCGTTCCGGGCCGAGCCCGATATAGGCTGGGCTGTAATTATTTCGCGGTGACCCGGGGAATTAATTTCGACATTCTGGATAGCTCTCCCCCTTTCCGGCCTATCTTGGTTTTCGGAGTGCGTATTCTAATCGGAGTGCGACCACGGAGTTTCTACTGACACCAAGGAATTGCAGAATGATTTAGATTGCATTCTGACGAATTATGAATATTTAATGAATATTAACTAATAGATTTTTGATGAAATTTCAAAAAAAAAAAAAAAAATTCATCTCTATAACGAGTTGAGTAATCCCGAATTCATCGAACTGTCCAAATAAGAAAACGGGTGGAAAAAAAGGAAGGACGTCTTCAGTTTGCTTGTTTTGATATTTGTATTCAATCTACTGCTATCAGTTTCATGTCTCATCATTAAAGTAGCAGCTTCTGCTTACTTAAAATAATTTCAACATTTGAAGCTCAAATAAAATATACTTCATTTTTCATGCTGGATTAAAAAGTATCTTGATTTTTCACCTGAAGTTGGTTAAAGCAGGAGACTTTTGGAGGAGGTCTAGACCCGTCAACGGGTTGTTGAGCCAACTATTTATGTATGTTGATTTAACTATTTTAATTAAAGATCTGAAAAAAAATAATTTCCTTGTTGATTTAAGCTTTGGTACTACCGGCCTTTCTGTCGGGTAACCCGGATGAGTGGAAGGCACTCATCGGCAAACACTGGAGTGGGCGCCGGTCACTTGTTAGAGATAAAAAAAAAAAACGAAGCCTATAAGAGTAATTAATTTAAGCCTATTGATACAGCAACTGAATGTGTTAGTGGGATAATGAATGAAATAAAGATCAAATATCACTTAATATAAAGTTTACATCATAAATATAATTTTAAGTTTAATATATGTTTAGAAGATATATATATGTTTTTTTTTATTGTATTTTATTTTATCGATATAAATAATTTCTAGAATCAATGGTATATAATCTGAAAATCAGCACTGAAATGTCTGATTTTTTTTTTTTTTTTTTTTTTTTTTTTTTTTTTTTTTTTTTTTTTTTTTTTTTTTTTTTTTTTTGAGGGGGAGAGGGAGGAGAGGGATTATCAATAATCAGTATGAAAGATAGTTCCATTTTTGTTTCGAAGAAAAATAAAATGCTATATTTTTAATTTTTTTACGAGTTTTGAAAAGAAGTTAACTGCCAATTCATTCACTGGAATGATTTTGCCATTGATAACCATCAGGTTTCCTTTCAATATGAAAACAGTAATTTCCTTAGCGAAGAGCGCAGATCTGACGGAACCCATAATGACCGGCATGTCGTGAATTACGAAGAGAGAGAGAGTGTTGATGAAGGCGGAGCATTAACGATGACATCGCCTGATACGCGGCTTTAATATCTGATGGTCCCCGCTAATGATGAGTGGGAAATTGTGTGGAAGCTGTTAAAATGCAGATTGCTTTTGAAAAGGGTTGATCGCTACCCGTCATTTGGCGGGCTGTTAATCAACTCCTGATCGAAGCTACCCGCTGCTTCCTATCTTGAAGCTTTGGTTGACGTTTAAATATTAAACTGTAATATTAAATCATTATTACAATTGAGTAATGATTATTGCGAACCATTAAAAAAAAAAAAATATATATATATATATATATATATATATATTTATATATATATATATATATATATATATATATATATATATATATATATATATATAGAGAGAGAGAGAGAGAGAGAGAGAGAGAGAGAGTGAGAGAGAGAGGGAGAGAGAATGCCAAAACTCTAATCTCAAATGACAACATTACTTCAAAAGTAAAATAATACTATTGGAGTGACCAGCTAATAAAATTGAAATGAAAGGTCTCTATGAAATGGATAACTATTTTTGGAAAATGGAAACGAAGAATTGATTATCCAACCCCAAAATAAGAGTAAGATCAGACCACTAGCGAGCGATCCATCTGTTATGATTTACAAAAAATAGTGCTTAGACATTAGTACCAGGATTTGAAACCATTATTGAACTTAGAGTATGACTTATATTGAATATTTAATAGTTGATCATTGCATTATAAAGGAAGGAGATGGTCCGGGGTGGCTGTCATGAATAAGCTAAATAGTGGTAAAACTATTTTATTAAAAGCCAACGTTTTGAACCGACATGGCAGGTCTTCTTCAGGAAGGTGTGTTCAGCAAGGAGTTTCAGTGAACGCACCTCCCTGAAGAAGACTTGCAAAGTCGGGTCGAAACGTTGGCTTTTAATAAAATAGTTGTGCCACTATTTAGCCTATTTATGACCGCCACCCCGGACCATCTCCCTGCTTTAGTATGACTTATAATTTTATAGCGTATGATATCATTACCTTGTTATAATAATTATATTTTTGGTTCCTAGAGATTAAGGTATTTTTACTTTCAATTACCTATAAATAAAATATATAGTAAGAGAAAGTTTTAATCGGAAACACGCGTTTTAAAGTCCCCTGAGTCTAAACCAAATCTCGCGAAATGACCTGTATGTGTGAGTGTAGCTCAAAAAAGAAAAATCGTACTAAACTGAAATAGCCTTTTTCAGGTTTGTATTTAAGTGAGATGTTACATTGTACAATATTTTCGTTAAAATTCCGCTAACCGGAAGTTGTTTTTTATTTTTTTCGAAAACGTCTCTGACGATTTTGAGTCAACACTTTAGGCCAATGTGTTATTAAGTGATTTTTAATTTTTTAAAATAATTAAGTAGTCTTAGTCTTTATTGAGATATATTACCATCTGTCACATTCAAGGACAATAGTAATAGTGATATAAAGCAGCTCATTCATACTATGCACAATAACCAAAAATAAAGGTAGTTTTTTAATTAAAGGCAGGTTTCATACATTCAAAAAATATCCAAAATAGAAAATATAAATTTTATTTGTTTATTTAGACATATAATATTCTGCACAGGGACAATAATTATATTGATGAACACATTCACACCGTAGGACGGGGCATCCAACAGATATTGGTGCGATTTAAGCACAGAGTATTAGGTTTTAAGTTTAGAAAATATAAATAAATACTTTAATTAAATTAACTAAATAAACAATCTTATAATCTTCATTTCTGTTAAAAGAAGAATGGTAAGTGAAACTTGTGTGATGCATTCACCTCACCAGAATTTTTTTGATATAATTAGGTTGACCAATATAAAATATATTGGTATCATTTCACCACCTATTTATAACCCCTGCGATTATAACTCGAATTATACCTCCCAATTTCCGAATTAACTAATTCGAAATTGATATGATCTAACAGATAGGTAATAATTGATATTAGGACAAGATGTGTTCTGAAAGCATTCAAACGATTTAAGTTATTAAAGTAACGATTAAAGTAACATCACCGCGGCGACTGTAAATATTATACAGATTGGTGGATGGATAATGAACGGCGTATAATAGAAATTCTAATCAATTGATTTTCAATTTATCAAGCTAAAATTTCCTGGAAATGGACTGAACCTATTTGTGACCAAGCAACTTTCTTGGAGCTGTCCTGTTTTCTCAGTTAATTGTAACTCCATTGAACGGAAGTCCTTTCAATGGACCCATCCACCTGGCCTCGTCTGATTGAATTGACCAATCCGAGGGAAAAGAGATTATGATTGATTAGTTTCTTACCCAAGCGGAGATTTCCAATAACACGATAATCTGAAAGGAAAGTTTTAAAATATATTCTAATCTAATATTATTTTGGGAATAAAAGCAATGCTCTTAAACACTTAATAATCTAAACGAAATAATGACAGCATTAACTTTAGGTGACTAATAAATAATTTATATGTTTCTGAAATTTTTATTCTAACCACATATCGTTAAAAGTTTTTTTTTTAAATTAAAAATACACATTATGTATTCGATATACTTTCTGCAACATTAACTTGTTAATCAAAGATAGATAAAATATATATTTCAATTCAAAACAGTAATAATTAGAATGACTTATAATTATAAGAAATAATAATTAATAAATATTGCATAACGTAATTAAATTTATTAATTGTATTAAATATTTTATTTTATTTTTGAACGACCACATACGAACACAGTACAAAAGATTTCACAATAATTTACACGGACATACCAACTCACGGATTTAAGGCATGGCTACAAATAACATAATAGCCGTAGGATTCTCAAAAAAAGTTGGATAAGGGATCTCCTCCACTAATTACAAATATTTAAATTAAGAAAGGAAGGACGACACTGGTTACTCCTTTCTCTCACGCCTACCAAAGACCTATTCCAACTTCTACACCTCGACATGGCTGGATGTCGGAATTTCTGATAAATGAGTAGATATTTAAAAAAAAAAAAACTATTGAAATATGTCATAAATGATTAAGTGTTGGTTTTATTTTATTTTTTTTATTTATTAGGTACTTTAGTAAAAGGAAATATGGTTTCTCCTTTTTTTTCAGAAATAAATCTCCATTCCTTCCAGATTTACATTTTAAGTAGGTCTATATCATCATCGTAATTGCTCTTAATTTCGCACATCTTTAATTGATAAAGAAATTATTGGGCTCACCCTTCTTCTAGTTGAACCTACAGACGAAAAGATTTGTAATTAATAATCATTTATAGATTAAATATTCAGGTGTACTTTCAAATCTCTCTAGGCATATATGAGCTTTTCGGTTGACGGAATGACTAACTCCAATTTCAAAATTCTTTATTATTAATTTTACTGATGTTTCTAGTGGCAAATTTTATACCTTTATTCACAGTTCTATATGTCAACCCTGCAATAACCTACAATGGAATCAACTTACTGTCCCTATAGATACCATTTTTCCAACAGAAATATCACTAAAATGACATTACTCAAAAATGTTGAAATTGTGGTTAGTCATTCTGTCAACTGAAGGCTCAGAGACTGAAGTTGAGTGGTTTTTAAAAGATGATAGAGTAACTAGATTTTTATTGCCTACTGACGATGTAATAAATAGATTTATAGTATTTTTACTGCTCTTAATGATTTGTTATCTGTAAGCTTTAGGCATTAGCTCCTTTTAAAATGCACTTCAAAAATTTTATAATAGCCCAAAATTGTCAGATAATAATTTCTATTCAAAGTAGAACGATAAGTGAAAGTTGTTTGCAGATTTTTTTTATTTGTATTCGTCTCTACCCTTGAGGGCCATTGGCGGTAATTCGTTATTTTTATATACTTTTGTAATATTTTGTTTGGATTGTATGTTGGAAGAGAAAGAAAACTTTTCTTTATACCTTTATGAGATGTGTTTTAAGCTTTTTTTTTTTGGGTAGGGGGACCCATAACTTTTGACCGACTCGTCCCCCACTGTTGTGAAAAGCCGTTTAAGTAAAGACAAAATATATTGCTAGTATCCTAGTAGAGACAAGACTTGAGTGTTGTAGAACCACGTTAAGAAGAGGTGAGGTTTAAGTATAAGATAGAAGAATCTAAAATTCTTAGGAAGAAGTACAGGCACGATGAATCTCATATTGGATAGGATTCATTTGACGGTGACAAGTATCCTATAATAAACCACTATATGAAATAATTTAGAAATTGACATAAAAATATTTTTTAAAAAAGGTTGAACAAATTCAATTTTTTGTCTAATAAACACAAAGATTTTTAACAAAACATAAAATGAAGGAAAACATTAAACATGATTAATTCGTTAGTAGTCGCAAAGATTCATATTTTTTGAAACTCTAGACGCAATATTAAGTCTGATTACTATCTGGAGTTGAAACGTATGTATTATTTTTTCCCGATGTCTTGATTCCTTTGAATTTATACTTCTAAGAACTGGTAAAGCTCTGTCCATTTCATTTTTAGCTTTTTCTTTTTTATCTCCAATTTACGAATTCCACAACCCAACATATCGATTTGCTGAGGTCATTAAATTCACCCATTCATTTCATTGTTAAATGTCTACATCTATTCCTGTATAAACTACATAATATTTGCCGTTCATAAAACATTATTCATTACACTAAGATTGTTGCTACGCTTAATGTGTTCACATTTATATCATTTCGGGGTACGACGAGTCAAGAGGCCATTTTTCGTTTTTTTTTTTTCAAGAGCACAATAATTATCGTTTCTTGATTACTTACTGAAAGAGTTAGACCTCTGCTGTGGACCACTGGACCGTTGCTCTTGTCTCTTCTTGCAGTCCTCCTCATCATCCTCGTCCGGCATTATGTCGTCAAGGGACTCGGTCTTCCGCATCTGTGGCAGGCTGAAGTCGATCTGCTTGGATCTGCAACCAAACCGTTTAATGAGAAGATTGTTAAATTAAAATGGAGGAATATTTGTTAGGGTATTATTGAAATATTCCATTAAAAAAAAAAAAATCTTAATCATATACATCACAACATAAACAGTTGATATTACGAAATCTGTTGTCACAACAATAAACTTTTGCTACTAAAAGCTTCTATTTTTATAGAGAAAAGACTTCTCAAATTACCAACAAATAAAAAACAATGAGATAAAGTAAAACTAACTTTATTTTCCCAGCTTTTACTTCCAAAAGCTTTTCTTTCTCTTATTGTTTTCAATTTGGAGGGAATTGCAGGTTGTACCGACAACTTCTGTAACTCGACTCCCGTATCTTACATGCACTGTGGACACATGGTATGATTTCTTGAAATGTTAACGGATATTCAATTTGTATTTAACAATTGACAAACCAACCTTGTCCGCATTAATAATTTCCCGGATTATGAAAGAGCAAATTTGTTAGAAATTAGTCAGCGATATCAAGCGCAGTCCTCACCTTATATAATTAGTATCGGATAAGTACTTTATGTTCGATTTGACATTTTTAACAGTAAACTTCACATTTGTAATGACAAAAACAATCGAGTCAGATACCTAGAAGGAAACGTTTGGCAGTTGCCAAATTTTCTAAATAATCAATTTTCACAAATTAAATCAGAATGTTAAATTTTCTAATTTTTTCAAAATAATAGGTAGGGCTCTTCCAAATTGACTGTTGACTACAATATTCAATCCTGTTTTAGAGGGAAGTTGATTTTTGATATTTTTTCAATATGATATGCCTAATTGACCAAAATTTTATTAGCAACCAATAGATTTGATCGAAATGATCATCAGAGAAAGATTTGAAGGTCCCAAGTTCGTTTTTTCCCCGTCATTTTGGGCATATTGTGGAAAAAGTTTCCAAAGTTTATTAAATCTAAAATTTCCGAGTTAGGGGTTCGGGACGATTCCAATAATTTTTTTTTCACATGATGCACATCAATTTTGAGACATATATTATTAAAGTCACTATATTTGTATAAAAAAAATATTTTATTAGTTTATTTTATTAAAAATAAATTTATTAATTTAAAAAATAATTATAGTATTTACCAGGTAACATGTTTTATTATATAATGGAGTAAAGAGTAAGTAAAGATGACGTGGAATCTTCAAGTTTAGAGACATTCGCTAACTAACTCTGTCAAGTTTCTTTACGAACCCCTTAAGGCTTTAATGCTATAACTACCTTATACGCGAATGTCTCCCTCTTATTTACTGAGTAAATCAGGAGATGAGTGAAATTTTATATATTATACTATTATATATAATGATATAATTTTGTTATTTTTTTTATTATTGAAATTTACAACTGTATTAAATGATAAATACAATAAGTAAATATGAAATAAGTAACATTACATGTACAGCATGAAGAGGAACTATCCATTGGTAGCACTCCAATTATATTTCTATATTAGAAGGTCCCGAGGCCATCTTCTTTTCAGACACTTCGGAGGGTTATTAGGAATAGAAGAGGAAGCAATGTTGGAAACAAGAGGGTTCTAATGGTTCAGAAGTTTATTATGGAAGGATAGGTATCTGGATTGAGCTAAATCGGAAACATACGGTACAATAAGGTCGTTATGGATGATTTTATTTGTGACATAGTAGGATACATTAAGGATTTTATGAAGGATTTAGGATTATAGAGATTGGATACGAGAGGAATTTGATGGTTTAATAGAGCTCCAAAGCTCGATCCCGTATGTCCAAATAGACCTTATTATAGTAATATATATATGAGTCTTTTGTAAATAGTTGGAAGTTTAGAGCGTTTTTCTAGCAAGTGCTTCATTAGTCGAAAACGTCGAACGGTTTCTAGTCGTTTCAGTCTGGTATAAATTAAATAAGGGTTAGTGATATAAATTAAATTTATATCATGTCAAATAGTTTTTGCCTCTACCCTAGAGGCATGGACAATTACATATTTATTTAAACTTATAAATTATTCTATTAAATAATTATTCTATTTAGTGGTTTGCCTCAAATCGATTTCTTATTAAGATTTACATGTTTCGTTCTTCTTATTTCGCTCTATATATTTATTATATACCCCTAGAGAGCGCAGCTGATCAGTGAGTTAGGCACGGGACTATTCAGCTCAATGTCTGAGTTATTTGTTATTATCAGAGAATCGAGCCTGGAGTGCGAGATCCTCCTGGGGCAAACCCAGTCTCTATAAAGTAAGTACTATTAATAGAATAATTGGTTAAGAGGAAAAAACTGGCTGTTGAGCGTGATCCTGGCACGATCACTTCTCTGCACAAGTGTTGGCCTTGAATTCCTAACGATGTATTGAACCCAAATCCCTTCATTGCTTGTAGTGGTACAAGTCTTTTTTTTGTTATTTTATTGTGTAACTTTACAAGTAATTTCTAATTTTAACAATATTTAAAAAAAAAAACTAAAATTATTACTTCTATTATATATAATACATACTAAAAGTTTTATGGAATCTATGTGAAGATTTTGTAAGCTATTATTTATTTTTTTTTTTCGATTTACTCGTTATACTGATGAAATCAACAGAACAAGAAAAATAAATTACTATACGTATCTATGCTTTTGAATAAAATAAATGAGGAGATTAGAATGATAATAGAATTAATAAGCTTTGCTTTATTGTAGGAAAGGAGAATGTTTCGTGAAAAAACTTTGATTATATCTATCATTAAATTACGCACTAAGTTCTTAAATAATACACATATTTACCGTTATAGTGCATTCACAAAACATTTGTTTTATGTTCAACAAGCAACCTTCAATACTCTAATGTCATTTAAGCACACTCTATTTCGACTAGATTTAAGATTTCTCTCACTTAGAATTCGAATTAAAGCTTTAACAAGTAAAAACTAATATGTTTTTTAAAACTAAAATATTTTCACTTCATTTGTGTATTTTTTTTTAAATTATGTTACATTCTCTCACAGTTAGGATCATTCTTAATTGTGATATAGAGTTCAGTAATCAAAGTAACTCCCGTTTACTTTTGACCAAACCATGTACTAACATACCTTCTGAAGAACATAATAAAAATTCTGGTTTATTTATGTTTCCTCATCTATCCCTTGTCCCATTCCTATTTCTCCTTGCCGCATCTAACATTCCCATATTTCAACTCCATGGATATAAGATGTCTGTCAAAATAAATGGAAGCAGTATGTTAACTTTCTCACATAGCATAGGAGAGAAAAGAGATGGGTGAGGATTTTTATAAAATGCAGTCTTACATTAACAAATATTATTTATTATTTTATGCTGTTTAACATATCACGTATTCTTACTAGGGAAGGAAGTGTGGGTTATTTTAAAGTTTATAAATCTGTCGAGCCATGTTGGAAGAACAAGATATAAGTAAGATTTGATTAGGAACCGCTTCTAACTTATTAATTTTACATTATTTTCATAATTAAATAACAATGGTTAATAATAATAACTTAAAAAAAAATTGGTATGTTACAGGAAAACATAACATTATTATTACTTAATAATTTTATTTGCTTTAAAAATTTATTTTTGGCTGTCAACTTTTTGTTGATAATCAGAAAATGTGCTGGAAATACAGGACATAATGACATGACAGGGGAAGGAAATTACTCAGCAGAAACTCTTCTTTTGTTTAATTATTTAGGTTGTTTAAAGAAGATCTCTCACTCAACGCCTTTTTAGTCTCCTCGTTATTTCCTGGGGTATATTATCTGTGGCTATGTCTGTTTAAATCAGCAGATTAAATATAGCGGTTGCAGACTGAAGAATAATAATGTTTTGTGTTCTACAATAAAACACTACATTTTACACGCGACCTCTTGCACAAACTTGGCGATGTTATTATTACTTAGTTGTTTCAAGTAGTTTTAGATAATATTACTGTAAGAACTGTGTTTGAACAACAATGTGAATGTTAAAAAAAGAACAGATTGATTCAATTAGGGATCAATATTTTGATTTTTAAGGAAAAGGCCTATTCATTTAAACTTTGAGAAAAATAGAGGTATAAATTTAGAGCGCCCAAACTTAGAGTAAATAATCTTCATAATCTTAGAAATAATAAGGACCTATCGATAGTTATTTAAAACAATATTTAAAAAAAATTGTAAAACTAAACTACAGAAAAAAATGGTACAAAATTTTTAATTTCAAGCCTAATGCGGAATCTCAAGATATAAATATAGACCAACAAAATTTCGTAGTGCTTTTGTTGACATACTATTAGACAGTGTCCTACGAAAAATATTTTTTGTTCCACACTCCTGTCCATGTTACTTTATTAAATATAAGCCTGAAGCGGTAAGGATAAAGAAATACTTTTTCTGTGGTTGATAAATGGTATTGAGGCAATGTAGCTGAAGAAACAAACTAAATAAGCTGTTATATCAGCACAGATCATATATATATATATATATCAAATAAATAAATAATTTAATAAATAACAATAGAACAAATCTCGATAAGTAACTTATTTATACAATTATGCTTTAGATCATATACATCAATCAAACGTCGTTCATTAAGAAATATCAGTAATGTTAGTACAAAAGGTCGCATGTAAAAATTGATTTTTTTACAAAACAGCATGAAAAGTGAATATTTCTTTACTTGATTGATTAGTATAATTTTATATTTTATCTCTATAATATTTTTCATATTAGCAGACTATTTATTGCAATTTCAGACTACAAACCGCCATCTTTAGAAAAAAGAATTAACACAAAAAATTGTTATATACGGCCTTTTGAACAAACAGTACCGATATGTATAATGAACAAATAGCTGTTGAAATTGTAACAATAGAGAAGTTACATAACTTGGCACCGTAAAATTAGACGGGGAAAATAACAAAGACTAGAAGCTGGGGCGACTTGTGAAAACCCAATAACAATCCACCAGCGACCTAATTA